GAGGAAGTGTGAAATAGAAACGCATGCAAAATGGCTGACAACCGGACAAAATTATTGTTAACCATCAATGAAACTGCTCGTGCAATAATTTTAACTTTTGAAACATCACTCGTGCCATAAATAAAGAAATGTACTCGAATTCATACGATTTTGTATAGTTACTACATTTATGGTTAAAATGTTAGTACATTTTTGGTTTATAATTTATTACATTTATTGTTCGGGTTTTCATTACATTTATGGTTGACTTTTATTACATTTATGGTTAGTGTTACTGTTATTTAGCAATTATTGAATGAGGCTGAGTAGGAGGTGAAGAATAATGCAGATTGAGGAGGATATTATCGGCCGAGGTGGATAACATCATCCTGCAAGATCTGCATAATTCTTTTCGTCTTACGAAAGCCGAATTCAATAATGGTTTTATTAGTCATTCAAAATATTTCTAATTTGTTATAAACAAGCTTACCTTCTCGAAGACTTTCTTCAAAACTTTGGCCTATTTCTCGGCATGGTTTTCACGATACAACATATGTTTTTCCTTGAAGATACTCCTCAAAAGTAAACTAGTAATAGTTGACACTACAGCTGCCCCCGTTCTGTATATTGTCGGTCAGTAGCATTCTTGCTCGTTGAGTGGCTCTTTGAAATATACCGATTCATAATTGAGATTTTCACACATATTCTATACAATAGGTGAGATAAATACAGGAAACGCAAGGTTCCATGCACAGTTTCAGGTCGATTTACACAGCTTTGATCAAAACATTCTCAGTTTCGAGAATAGGTTATTCTAAACCATAAGAAAAGACTTAATTAGAAGTTGAATTTTTCGCTATTTCTCTTCCACTTTTTACATTCAGTTCATTTTATTTGCCGGAAAGGAAGCCTTAAATTTCTCCAGAGGCTTTCTTTAGATTTTCCATATGTATATTTGTCTGTAATTTTCCCGGGACTTTCTTACAGACAAATGTATAGAAAATTTTGAAAAGGGGTTCTAGGTCTTCCAGTGCATGTAACGAGAGGAGAGGAGAATCCTTAGGAGTGAAGCTTTAGTTTGCAAATCATATTTTTTTTTTCAGAACAGCCGTTCTAAGGAAATTATTCGACATTAGATTCTCATACAATCACTGTAATTTCTCACGCGTTTGCCTACTCGTCAAGATGGCGTCGAAAACCGTGGCAAGGTCTATTCTAGTCTTTAAACTTTATAGCGGAAGGACATCTGTGAGCAGGGAATAAGTCAGCACAGAATTTGATTGTCGTCGAATTTCGGTAATCGTCCATCGTTCTGCTAGTGAGAAGCTAGCAGGGGCACCCAACGAGAATATAGTTCAAAACCACCTAAACATAGCATTGTTAAACGTATTTTAGTATTTAAACGGTAGATATAGGCATATTTTTATCCCCTAAAATTTTTTCATCTGTTCGGATTTCCTAGCTGAAAGTCTAGTGATCCGAAAATTATAGGGATCAAAACTTACCTTTTCGAAAATTTCAGCCAGAAAAGAGGCTCCCGAAAATTCTAGGTGACCTTTTTAGGGTAAAAATCCGTTAAAAATGGGCAATTTACATTTTTTAGATGTTCGAAAATCCTAGGAGAGGCAGGCAAGCAAGAAATTTTATAACAAATGTTTCGAAAATTCTAGATCTCAAATCGTCTTCCGAACAGATATTCTTCCGAAAATTGTCGTTGGGTGCCCCTGAAGCTAGCCGTTGTTCACTCGTCTTGCTTGTTTGGGGCTGAGTCTTATTCCGGTCAAAGAGAGAGAAAGAGTGTCTGGCATGGTTTCCATTGAAAGATTTGTGAACTCGTGTCTGGCAAACTCTCCAAGTGTTTATATATACACAGTTATGCGCACCTTATAAATTCTTCTGCGCTTAACGAGTGTCGTTAAAATTTTGGTTTATAACTTTCACTGAAACAACTGCTCCACAGAATGTCACTGATAACACGTAACTCAAAAGAGTGTCGAAGTATGACTGCACAATAAACGTCACAAAATCTACCTAAGCGGTCCCTTGGGGATGTTCTGTCTTTACGTCATCCTAACCATTTCGTACTTGCGGGCGTAAACATTAATAGAAACGTCATCATTACCTACCTATTCCTCGCGGCCCCTGTTCAAGCAAATCGAGATTTTTTCTATATTGACTGTATGACTGTATATTTCAACTGTAAGTACTTTCCTTAATATACGCGCGAGTTACTAGAGTGCCTCCTTGCGAGGGCAACAACATCCGATCCCTCCAGGGATACGTTTTGAGTATTCTTGCATTTCTTAACTTAACTCAGGAATCAAGAGCTAGGCTGCCGCGTCTGGAAAGGAGTTTGATCGATTTTATATTATACACTTAATGTCAGATCCCGAAGGAAACAGTTCGTCTCGGGAAACATCAGGACTCGAGGGAAAACAAAACTAACAAGTTTCCCGAGGGACCTGACATTAAGTGTTTTGTTATATTTCTAGACTTTCACTTCAACAGGAACAAAAGAATAACCGGAGCAAATCAAAACAGTCGACTCGGTACTTATAAGAACACAAATTTAATTCTTAAAACCACTGAAAGAATCATTTACAAAGCACTTTCCTTATATTATCTGCACCTTTTTCCTCTACTAGCTGCTGTTTCTCTTCTGGGATGACTTTGAAAATCGTTGTCTTTTAGCTTGAGGCTTCATGTTTGTGTTGTTAACTGTTTAAGCAATAGAGAACGTTTTCCGTGTTTGCATAGCCCGATATAAACAAGAGAGGGGTCGGGAGAATTCAAGACAGTCAGATGCAAAAAGGTCGACTTCGTCTTGGGTTTGCATAACTGTCGAGAATTCTCCCAACCCCTCGAGTGTTTACATCAGGATATGCAAAGACAGGAAAAAAAGTTTTCTATTACTTTTATAAAATAACTTGCCCGAGAAAAAAAGCAAAACTCTCTTGTCTAGAGCATTGATTAAAAGATAAATTCTTACCAGTCGCAAAGTCTTGTACACGAAGCTTGTACGCGTAATCAGTCTTTGTTTTGCAAAAAAGATGCTTTCCAAAATACGGGTTTTTCTCGCTTAAAATGTCAGGTCAAGCGAAAAAATTGACACAGCATGTTTCTAAAGATTCTTCAAGTTTCAACCGACGAGGAAATGGGTAAATAAAGTAAACTTGTCGAGTTTTTTAACTCAAAACCATTTTCAAATTCGTGCTGGCGTGATTAGCGTGCGAAAAGCAAAACATCTTGACTTCACAACCATGTTTACATACTCTCATGCAAACACGCTTCTCGGCCAATCAAAGCGCGCGTAATATCTTAGTTATTTTATAATCTCTGTTCATTAGTCTGTTCATTCACGAAAAAGAAAACTAGCAGCGTTTTTCCCGCCTTCTGTCACGCCACTTTCCACCACGCTTTGATCACGTGCTGTAATGAATCCCGAGCTAGGTATAATCCGGCTCAAATATATCGGGATAAATTTGATTTTAGTCAAGGCCATGTGACCAAGAATCAACCAATGGCAGTCCCTGTTTAGTTGAGTGAAAGTCTAGGAATATAAATTGATGGTGTATTGCTTGCGTCTTCCAAATATGGTGATCGCCAGCGGGTTATGAGGAATTAGCCGGGGAATTGGAGCCAATATTTTGAATGAATAATGAATAGAGGATATTACATGGCCACGCGGAGATACAAAATTTCTCCTCAAGTGTTGAAAAAATATTTCACGAGTGAGCGCAGCGAACGAGTGAAAAATTCTTGAACACAAGAAAAGAAATTTCGAATCTCCAAGCGGCCATGTAATGTTCTATCTATTTTATAAACACTAATGAAATACCAAACCATTTCGCTTTAATATTTTGTAAGTGCTAGAGAAGCACGAATGTGTCAGAACTAAAAATGAAACAAAGTAGAAAGCCTTTAAATAAAAATTCCTCTTCTTTACAATGTAACAAAGAGCTAACCTAAAATACATATCTGGATCATAGATTTTACATTTCGAAAAAGCCAGCTGTAAGCAAGACTGTTTTTAGACATCAAATCCAATATTACTCTACATTTATAAGTTCCATTTATAAGTAAGAATCATGCGGGAAGCCGAGATTTTTTGAAGAATAAAGATCACAAAGAACAATAAGTTCGTCATCGTCGATTGAACCATGGTCATGGCTTGTCATGATCAGAAGCAAATTACGGTGGTCAACACGAAAAGTCGTCGTCTGTCTGGGAAGCTGCACTGCTTAAACTTCGTTTTTCCCGCCGAAAACGAAATCCTTTACCCAGTCTACCTCGGTCACGAAGCGTCGTCTTCGTCCGTTTCGTTGTCGATCCTAAGGTCCCTAAAGAGCGAGAAAAAGTTCAATACTAAAAATTAAGGAGCTGGTAAAAACTATAAAGCACTATATAAGATGTAATGGCAAATATTAGAAACAAAAGTTAGACTGGGAGAGTAAAGATATCAAACAGAGTGGGGAATGAGTCAGGAGTAAGAGAGAACCTCAGTTCGCCGATTTTCAAAGCTGATGAACTCTTCTAATTACTTTATCAATATACAACTCATAAAATATCTTTCAGCTTACTTTGATCTTCGTGACAAATTAAAGTAACGTAATTGCACCATGATGGACGTAATTTTGGTTCTTAAAATAGCTTTTGCAATACTATATGAACTTATTGTCATGCAAATAAAGCTCGTTGTTGTTGTAAAAGCTTGTGGCTGAAATAGTTTTATTTTCCAGAATTTTTAACAGTACGGTGTATGGTGGTAAACAGTACGTTACAAACAACTCTGTAAAACTATTTATTTAGATATTCTGCATTGAGATTCAAGAAGTATAGAATAGGCCAAAGAAATGATAGTCCAACACTTATAATCCTGACCTACCTCAGTACATCTTACATGAAAGCTTGATTATCTTGCCTAAGAAGTTTAACTGTTCAGTTAAAATGACGTTAGGAATCTTGTTTCCACTTTCTTACTCTTAAAATATTTTTCTTCTCAAGGTTGAGAAAAAAGTGTCATGGACAACATCTCGGAGATTCTACAGACCATTCAAATTGGTGCAGTCGTTGCAACTTTCCTTTTCAACACTGGACGTATTATAAAAGCAGTACACTTCTTTAACGAATGTTTGGTGCTCCTTAAAGGTAAAGCCCTAGAGACAATCAGAGAACTTACCACACCACTTCTTATCTATATATACCGTAAACTTCTTGATGGCTATACTCGTATGTACGATCACACCCGTGCGATAGAATGTGGTAAAAAGCTTCTAGTGAAACTACACAATAGTGGCCAAAAAGAAGTAGAAGGAATGACATTACTTAAACTAGCGAACATCTACTATCAAAGAAGCAAATACGAGGAAGCAAAACAGTTTAACGAAAAGGCACTCAGCATCATGATTGAGGCTGGAAATAATCGCAGGGTTGGAACATGTTACGGAAATCTAGGAACTGTGTTTCTTTCTGTCTGTCAATATACCAAGGCTGAAGAATACCTTCAAAAAGCACTAGTGATCAGGAAAGAAATCGGTGACAAACAAGGAGAAGCATCTGCTTACGGAAATCTAGCAAGTGTGTTTGAAGCTGTTGGTCAATATACCAAGGCTGAAGAATACCTCCAAAGAGCACTAGTCATCAGGAAAGAAATCGGTGACAAACAAGGAGAAGCAGCAGATTACGGGAATCTAGGAACTGTGTTTCTTTCGGTTGGTCAATATACCAAGGCTGAAGAATTCCTTCAAAAAGCACTAGTGATCAGCAAAGAAATCGGTGACAAACAAGGAGAAGCACCTGCTTACGGAAATCTAGGAAGTGTGTTTGAAGCTGTTGGTCAATATACCAAGGCTGAAGAATACCTTCAAAAAGCACTAGTGATCTGGAACGAAATCGGTGACAAACAAGGAGAAGCATCTGCTTACGGAAATCTAGGAAGTGTGTTTCAATCTGTTGGTCAATATACCAAGGCTGAAGAATACCTTCAGAAAGCACTAGTGATCAGGAAAGAAATCGGTGACAAAAAAGGAGAAGCATCTGCTTACGGAAATCTAGGAAATGTGTTTCGATCTGTTGGTCAATATACCAAGGCTGAAGAATACCTTCAGAAAGCACTAGTGATCAGGAAAGAAATCGGTGACAAAAAAGGGGAAGCAGCAGATTACGGAAATCTAGGAAAAGTGTTTCAATCTGTCGGTCAATATACCAAGGCTGAAGAATACCTTAAAAAAGCACTAGTGATCAGTAAAGAAATCGGTGACAAAAACGGAGAAGCATCTGCTTACGGAAATCTAGGAAGGGTGTTTCAATCTGTTGGTCAACATACCAAGGCTGAAGAATACCTTCAAAAAGCACTAGTGATCAGTAAAGAAATCGGTGACAAACAAGGAGAAGCAGCAGATTACGGAAATCTAGGAGCTGTGTTTCTTTCTGTTGGTCAATATACCAAGGCTGAAGAATACCTTCAAAAAGCACTAGTGATCAGTAAAGAAATCGGTGACAAACAAGGAGAAGCAGCAGATTACGGAAATCTAGGAACTGTGTTTCGATCTGTTGGTCAATATACCAAGGCTGAAGAATACCTTCAAAAAGCACTAGTGATCAAACAAGAAATCGGAGACAAAGCTGGTGTTGGAGCTTCATACTTAATTCTGGGAAAACTTTGTGCAGAATTTCAACTTACTGCAAAGAGTCAAGAATTTGCAAATAAAGCACTTGAGATAAGTTACGAAATAGGGGACATTGAAGTGCAGTTTAACAGCCATCTTATCCTTGCTGTGAACGAGTTAGTGGCAGGAGGAAGCATAACTGAACTTCTGCGAAATCTGCATGAAAGCATTCAGAAGTGCGAAGAAATGCATGATTTTTTTAGAGTGAAAGATCAATTCAAAATTTCTTTTTTTGATGAGCATGTGTCCCCTTACCTTCTTCTTTGTAAGTTGTTAATTGCTACAGGCAGTTATTATGAAGCTCTTTACGTTGCCGAGCTTGGACGATCCAGAGCACTGACAGACGTACTTTCAGATAACTACTCTGTGGAAAAAGGGGTATCAGTCAACCCACAGTCATGGATTGGTATTGAGAACATCATGAACAAAAATGGACTTAGTTCTTGTCTTTATGTTTCCCGCTTTGATCATAATATGTACTTTTGGATCCTCAAGCCAAACAAAGTTATAGTTTTTCGACAAACGAGACTCAAAGAAAGTGCAGAAATTGGAAATCAGACATTTGGTGGCTCTCTTGACTTACGTCAAGACCAATGCGAAGATCGATCATTATTTTCATGTCTAAGTTCCCCGCTATCGTGCAAACAATCTCAGATTGACAGCTTCGAATCTTTGCGTCTTATCGAAGAAGAGGAAGACGAAAATCACGACTCTAAACCTTTAACCCTTGCCGATGGTTACAACATGATAGTCGCTCCAGTAGCTGACTTACTCCAAGAATCAGAAATCATTATTATACCGGATAACTTGTTGTATCCAATTCCTTTTGCTGCTTTAATGGATGATAATGGAAAGTATTTATCGGATACTTTCAGGATTCGTATTGTCCCTTCCTTAACGACTCTTAAGCTGATTCAGCTAAGTCCAGCAGACTACCATAGTAAAACAGGTGCACTGATCGTAGGGGAGCCAGACGTTAGTGATGTATACTACCAAGGAAAAATTCTACAGTTAAACCCACTGCCTTGGGCGAGAAAGGAAGCCGAGATGATTGGACGACTACTCGGTGTTCAACCGTTGCTTGGAAAGGATGCAACTAAGCAGGCGGTCCTGGAAAGCATGCACTCAGTAAGTCTCATCCACTTCGCTGCTCATGGTTATGCCGAACGTGGACAAATAGCTCTTTCCCCTATAAGCTCCTGCGGAACTCCACTCGAAGAAGACTACTTATTAACAATGGCTGAAATTTCACAAGTTCGACTAACAGCCAAGCTGGTTGTCCTTAGCTGCTGTCATAGTGCAAGTGGTCAGATTAGAGCTGAGGGAATTGTTGGAATCGCTCGAGCATTTCTAGCATCGGGTGCACGCGCCGTGCTGGCAGCGCTGTGGGCTGTAGATGACAAAGCCACCATGTGGTTTATGAGTCATTTCTACGAGCACCTTGTTCAGGGTGAAAGTGCCAGTGAATCTCTTCATCAGGCCATGAAGTCGATGAGAGAGACCCGTTTTTCTGACATCATGCAGTGGGCACCCTTTATGCTGATTGGAGATAATGTGACATTCAAAGGTTTGTATTTGATATCATTTTTAGGTTTTTTAGTTATCTTAGTCAAAATTTGTGAAATTTATGTTCGTGACACTACGCATCATTTTGGAAAATATTATTAAGGGAGTTATACTGAGTTTTCTTAGTTTTTTTGTTTATTGTCTTTTTCAACCCTGTTCATGGAAGTGAGGCAACTGGAGAGAAGGCCGAACTTAATTATTTTCCGATTTTTATGGAATATTTCGTAAAGCATGCTAGAATCTCTAACTAACTAAAATGAAAATGTAGAAAACGATAGTTGAGTCTTGTTAATATATTTAGTTATTAATGTACTGTAAAATTCCGAAAATATACCCTGGGGCTTATATTTTTCAAAGGCCCTTTTGAGGGGCTTAGTTCTTTGTGTCGGAACAATAGGTATGCGGTGCAAATATTATACGAATCACATTTAAGCTGAAAGTGATACAATATGACTTTACTGAATTTTTAGCATATAAATGATCCCTCAAAATGTAAAGGTTTTGTTATTTGTTTGACTTTGAAGAAATCTGTCCCAGATATTTAGGTAAAGCATTTAGCGCAAGGAGCAACAGAAGCATGTTGATCGATGGCTAGAATAAATCGTGCAAAGAATACATACGAAAGGGAACCGTCATGATTAGTTTTTTATTTGTATTGTAGGTGCATTTGATAAGAGCAGTTTGAAAGATGGCGAAGGTGCAACGGAAACAAAGAACTTGTAAACTGAGAGGAAACATGTTAAAGTTGACAACCACTGTCACAGCTGTACATAAATGTATATACCTAGGATCTCGATGAAGTATTCTTGTCTGAGACGGCAAAGTGAACAGGTGATAATTGTACTTTTTAAAGCAGTCACCATTTTGATACGTTACGGGGGAAGGTGAAGCATGAGCTGAGCGTGGAGCACAAGGAGAAGGGATCGATAGCCAAGACCAATTAGTCGTCCTTATAGTGGAGACGTCAAAGTTGTATAGACCTTCTGAACCTACGTCTACTATATTAGTCAGGGCTTCTTTCGTTCTGCGTGACTTCTGCTACTCTCGTCAAGGCCTGCCCTTCAATTCACGCTTGCTTCAAATAAGCTCAATCACTTACATGTCTTACATCAACACAAGTATTACTTTCGTTTGATAAACTTTGTAAATGTGCTGATCTTGACAAACGTGATGAAATGCCAGATAGATAGTTAAGTTATAATATGATTTTACTCAGTTAGTTCTGTCACACCATCAATGGTCAAAGGCCTTGGATGAGGGTAAACAGGTGGACGTTGTTTTCCTGAACTTTGCAAAGGCTTTTGACAGTGTGACACATAATATCCTGCTGCAAAAATGTGTAATTTTGGTATCTCTGGTGCGCTTTGAATTAGTGTAAGGATTATCTCGCCGACCGAGAACAGAGAGTTGTCATAGAAGGAATAAATTCTACATGGTGTGCTATTCCATCGGGCGTACCTTGGCCCCTTATTCTTTGTAATTTTCATTGGTGATTTGCCTGAAGTAGAAATGCCTGGAAACTGTGTGTCATTATATGCTGACGACTGCAAAAGATCCAGGATTATAAACTATCCAGCTGATCATTCCGTATTTCAGTCAGGGCCCAGTTGTTCGAACGCCGGTTATTGCTAACCCGGGGTTAAATTTTAGCCCAGGTTTCTTTTTCTTTTTATCAAAAGCACACTATCGGATAATTTTCTCTATTCTTTTTAGAGTATCCAGTCATCAAATTGTAGGCAAAGAGAATTAAACTGAATTTGCTTTTTAAGCTCTCATATCCGAGTTCAAATTTCCCACTAACCGTGGGTTACCTTAACCCAGCTTTGAACAACGCGGCCCAGATGTCGACAATTGATATGCATGGAGTCAACAAAACCTCAGGAGTTTAACGTGAACGGAAATGTAAACTAATGCAATCTGCAATCTGCAATCTGTCTTGGAGTACTCATATCGATAAAATATCGAATAAGGCCAACAAGATCCTAGGTCTAAGGGACCTGTAAAGGATTTCAAGATGTTTCCACATTGAGAACTCTGTATCTTGCCCTGGTCAGATCACAGCTAGAGTTTTATTATTACTATAGTAATTTTGTTTTGAATACCATGATGATTTCGAACAACGGAGAAAAAAGCTCAATTTGTTGTCCTTAGAACAAAGACGATTTTTATTTGACGTATTATTCCTGTATAAAGCCCTGAATGGCTATATAAATATTGATCTATCTACATATGTACAGTTTTTCTCGGATTCTGATTGGTATCCTTTAGGGGGAAAAGATGAATGTACTCTCAAAAAGAATTATGCTAGAACTAATACATTTAAGTTTAGTTTTTTCGATAGGATCGTGGACATGTGGAACACTCTACCATTGCTTGTTCGTCAGGCAACAACTATTGCTAGTTTTAAGAAAGGAGTGAGGGAGTTTTAAGCTGGAAATGTGTGATGTTATTATTATTATTATTTTATTGATTTTTTTTGTACATATCTCTATATGCATTTTCACATTTTTAATTGTCTGTCCCATTAAATCTTAGTTTTTATGAAATGAATATTTTTTAGAAGGTGGTCTGTCTTGTATGGGGTCTTTGACTCTTTTACAGACCGTCCTTATGGCAATACCTTTGTATTTATCACTTACGTGAAACCTTTTGCCATTAAATTGTAATAAATATATAAAAGTGTTCTCTGGAATTAAGTGCTCTTTGCCAGGGGCAACCATCGACGGTTTCCTCCTAAATACATTGAAAACACTTTTTAGGGTATCCAGAGCAGTGCTTTTTTAATAGATCTCTAGAAATACATTCTATATTTATTCGGTCATCCTAGGGGGGCTTGAGTGTTTTCGACATTACAAGGGCTTCTGTATTATTGTCCCCAAGTTTTTAGATGCAATTTAACGTATTACGAAAGTGAGAATTTTTCTGACTCCTCTCTCCATCAAATTTTGGAATCGGAAAATAATTTAATGCCTTTTCTCTACGAAAAATAGCCTAACCTAAGGAGTTAAATGTGAAAAATTTAGCTTACTTTAGAAAATCGTAGAGACTTTATTTCCGAAAATTGTACATGAATGGAACGGTCATCTCGAAATTTTTAGCTGTCCTCAAATAAAAGAAAATTCTAGGCAATATTGCCTCTCTGAACAGATATTTTACAGAAAACCGTCGTTGGGTGCCCCTGCTTTGCGTCAATACGATAATTACGGTATTGTTTTTAAGCTTTTTTATTTGCCTAAGATCAATCACCACCACAATGTTTCAATGATTACTGTTTTAGAGTAGTGACAGTGTTTAGCGGAAAGTTCTAAAACAATTCAACATGATGGCGAGTCTTAGAGGACATAAACAAAGAAAATAAATAAACGTGTTTGTGTCCTCTAAGACTCGCCGCTGTTGTGCTGAATTTTTATACAGCTATTTCTAGAAAGGTTGTCAAAAAAGGGCACGCGACAATCACGAAAGGAATTGTGGGTGGTTTTAAGTTCGCTTTTCCTCAACGGAATTTGAAAAAATGGCAAGAGAGCGGGCATGGATATATGTTTGCGAATGCTAAAGGAAAGCAACAAAAGTAGGTTCGACAGCTAAAATGTCGGGAACAGTATATTGATCATATCCCATATTACCTTTCGGGATTGTCGCGGGCACATATTTTTCGACAACCTTTCTCGAAATAGCTGTGTACTGAAAGACCCCCATTAGTGACTGATAAGACTTAACAACTCAGGCGATTGGCGAAACTGTATTCTCCTGTTTTGAATGGGGCGTTTTCCAATCCTCTGCCCTGTCCTGTCTTACCTTCTAGGGGTGACCCTTTTTTTTCAAACGTAACTAAATAACTGACAGCAATGAATGGGTGGGTGCTCACCAGAATTTAGAAGTTGGGCTTTATTCTGAGTTGTTCCTCTTACAGCATTATGAACCCGGTTTATGAAACGGACTTGAGATCTTTAGAATGTCGGCAAATTCTAAACTCTCTTCTGGTATGTCACTCTGGTTTTCTTAGAAATGAGCCTGCCTATCAATCGTTTCAGCGTCTTCGTGTAATTTGTTAGCTCATTTCCATTAGATTTACGTAGGTTAGCTGTTTTCTGAGCTAAAGCGCTCATCAAATAACTTTATTTACGAGAGAATGCTACTTTGTGAACAGAGTTAGGGTTCAAACCCAAAGCTTTATTTCAATAGTGTACAAAAGTCTGTTAAAAGGCGTTTTAGACTGGAACCCTCTTCAAATTGTAATGAGAGACTCTTCTTGCCATGCTCGGTCATACAACTATGTTCTTAAGATTG